AGGAAGAGGAGGAGGAGGAGGAGGAGGAGGAGGCGGAGGAGGAGGAGGAGGAGGCGGAGGAGGAGGAGGAGGAGGAGGAGGAGGAGAAAGAGGAGGAAGGATGGGGAGTAAGGGGAGGCTCGAGGAAGCGCCCTCTAGGAGCCGACCCCTTTTCCTCCTCCACCCCTCCCTCCCTCCCTCCCCCCTGCCTGCCCCTGGCTTCTCCCTCCCTCCCTCCCTCCCTCCCTCCTTCGTCATCTCCTCTCCCCCCTTCCTCCCCGCTCCCTGGCCGCAGGCGCCGCGGCGCCCGCAGGGGAAGGCACCCGCGCAGGAGGCATCCCCTGCGACGGTTGTCGTCGTCGTCGTCGCCGTCCGTCGCCGTCGTTGTCGTCGTCGCCGTCGCCGTCGCCGTCATCGTCGCCGTCGCCGTCGCCGTCGACGTCGCCGTCGCCGTCGCAGTCGTCGTCGTCGTCGTCGTCGGCGTCGCCGTCGTTTTCGTCGTCGTCGTCGTCGTCGTCGTCGTGGTCGTCGTCGTCGTCATCGTTGGTTCTCCTCCCTCCCTCCCTCCTCTTCCCCTCGTTCTCCTCCCCCTCCGCCTTCTCCTCTCTCCCTCCCTCTCTCTCTCTCTCCTTCCCTCCTTACGAGGGAGGAGGGAACTGCATCCTTCTGTTGTTTCTCTCTTTCCTACTTGTCTGGTTGTGCGCAGCCTTTTCGCCGCAGGGCGGCCGGGACAGACTGGCGCAGTTTCTTTCCTTAAGCTTAAGTTTGAGTTCGGTCATCGTTTCGAATTGCGTGCCATCCATCCGTCTCTCCCTCCTCCGCTCCTCCTCCTCTCGACCACTCCTCCTCTTCCCTCCTTCTCCTCCTCCTGCATCCCTTCTGTGTCGGCGGGCGGGGCGTTTCGCCGGAGACTTCTTCACCATTCATGATCCTGAAGCTTCAACTTCGCGACAGTTACGCGGATGAAGCACAGATCGTTTTCAAAATATGGCTCTCGCCTTAGCGCACCGCGTATTCGTTTTCAACATTTGCTGCAGTTAGACAGATGGAGGAATGGGGTCAAAGTGGGACTCTCGCCTTAGCGCCGCACACATTCGTTTCAAACGTTTGCAACGTGTGCAAGGACGGAATACAGGTCGGTTTGAACATAGAGCTCTCACCTGAGCGCCATGCACACTGGCATAAGTGTTTGTAGCAAGTGCAGAGAGTGGAGGGCGGCCCCTTTTCAAAATGGAGCTCTCGCCTCACCGCCGCGCGTATTCGTCTCAAGCGTTCGCAACACTCACAAGGATGGAGGACGGCGCTTTTCATGATGGAGCTCTCGCTTGAGCCTTCCATCAGTTTCAGGAGGGAACAAAAACACAGACACAATTGATCGTCGACTCCCGGGGAAATATGCGAAAACATGGGTACTGTAGTGGGGGGGAAGACGAAAACCCAGAATGCATGGGAAGATATGGTGAATCCTGGGATCTGTGTCTATTTATAGGTGTGTCCTTGGGCCCCTTCAACTCACCACCCACCAAACCACCCCAACCCAACCCGAAACCCTCAATTTGCCCTCCATTTCTAGTGGGGGGGGGGGTCGGGGAACGTTGAATAAACACATGGAATCCGTACCCCCCCCAACCCGAAATTCGGGTCAAATTCGGGTCTTCGGGTTGGGTTGGGGTGGTGTGGTAGGTAGTCATCAACCAACTGGGCCTCCTCTGCTACTGCTGCTGCTGCTCCTCCTCGGAATCTGCGGGAAGGAGGAGGAGGAGGAGGAGGAGGAGGAGGAGGAGGAGGAGGAGGAGGAGGCCCGAAGGATCGGCCTCGTCGAGGCCCGTTCTGGATCCGCCTCGGACCTGGGAGCGATTCTATATCAACGGTCTCGCAGAGGGCCCGAGGCCGAGGTGCTTCTCCCGAGCCGCCGAGCGCCAGGCAGGCAGAGCGGCATTTTTCGGGCTGGCGGCCCTCGCTCTCGCCCTCCTCCTCCTCCTCCTCCTCTTCCTCCTCCTCCTCCTCCTCTTCCTCCTCCTCAGCACACCCCTTTTGCTGGGCATACCTGTCACCGTATCTGCGTCTATACTCGCGTACATGGCATACGGGTGGTGAGCACTCGCTTTCTACTCGCACGTGCACCATGGTCGCTCACACGTTCTCCCTTTCCTCTTACAACTGTCTCAGCATGCTGCAGCATGACAGATTCCAGGACATATCTCGCACGTTACGCACCAGCGTCATACTCATCCAGGGCACACGTCGTCGCGTTCATGAACAAGATCCATGTGATACACATACTTCTGCTGAATACCATCAATTTCATTTTGGGTATCATCCTAAACAAGGCAATGCACATACTGGCGTCACTATCGCGTTAGCTTCCCAGAGGTTTTCGAGGTCTAACATCATCTCCGTGTCCTACCCTAAGCAGCAGTATCTCTGGGGTCGGGGGGGCGCTGTCAGATGCAAAAGTCACCAGTCGGACATCACCTTCGTCTCCGCCTACCTCCCCCCCAACACGGACACGGCCAGATCCCGACGAGATTATCAAAAAACGCTGGCGTGGCTTGAAGAACTTTATTCTTCCCTACCATCCCGTACACTACCTGTGCTGGGCATCGACTCTAACGAGCATATCGGGCTCATCAGGACCCCAGCGGGCCCCACACCTACCGACGATTCCTGCACTGGGCCTTTTAACAGGAGTCTTCAGCAACCTCGCACCCATCAGTTCATAGAGTTTCTTCTCAAGCATGACTTGATTTTACTCAACACGTTCTACCCCACCTTCCCCACATATTATCATGGAGTGTCTGGCTCCTCAAGTTACATTGATTTCATCATTGTGCCTCGCAGTTTCTATTTGGCGCAGCACGTTCGCAAATGTCAGACTTTACGTTCTCTTGGGGATCGTTTGCAGCTGGTTCCTGACACGCGTCGAGTCGATCATCACCCAGTCTATGCGCTCATTGAGCACAATCTACGATACGAAGGGCAAGAAGCAGAGTGTCACGTTCGCTGGGATTTCGACCGACTTGTACAATCTGTTATGCAGGGTTCAAAAAGACAACAGTTTCTCATCGCTCTTGACAAGTGGACCGAGGACAACCGTTTCGTACTTGATGCTATCGCCAACAAGAGCTCATCTGAACAATGGGAAATGCTTGTTGAAAAAGGTCTTCTCCCTCTTGCTGCATCACATTACGGCAAGCAGGCTCAACAAGCTGGACCGCATTCTCATGAACGTCAAGAGCTACTTCGACAACGACGGGAGCTACGAGTTCAGTGCCTACAAGCGCCTGTCGTTTCACAACATGGCATTCTTTACTACTCGTTTCAGCACTGGCATAATCTGGCATCACTGTTTCGTGTCAATCGTAATATTCGTCGCCTTCACGCTGCACGTCTCAAAGAACTTAACGAACAACGACGTCTCGAGCTTCAAGACGCCTGGCGACAACGACGACTGGCTGAAGCATGGCAATTGGCACGACTTCTTACAGGCAGACGCATTGGACGAAGACTTCGTAATTATCACAAAGCTGCACTTCGACGGCGCTCAGAAGCCGAATGGTTTGCCAAACTTTCTCAACCTGGTTCTCAAGGCGGCTGGAATTGCATACGTTTACCTACCTCACAAGTACGTCAGGAATTCTTCGACGATCATGGTGACGAAGTTCACGTTAGTTATCAGTGCCACTTACTTGGTGAATCTGACCTCAAACAAGTCAGCTGGTGGATACGAAAAAGCTCAAATCGTAGAACGCCTCCTTCCTGGGATGTCCCCAACGAAGTCTGGAACATGATATTGTGGCCCCAGGCAGTCTACAAGCAGGAGACACATGGAGTTGGTCATGATCCCACACTTTACGAGCCGAAGCTTTTCGTCAAACGCCTTCAGCACATCCTCGACATGACACGGGCTACTGGTCACAGTCCATTTCAGTTTCATCGCAGCCAAGGTTTTCAAATTCCCAAAAAAGATGACGTTCGAATCGTTCACAGCATATCATCGTTTTCCAAGGCTTATCACAAAGGTCTTTTACGTCGGCCTGGCAAACCTTCGCGGCCTCCACCTCATCACGCGTTTGCTGTTCCTGGCCGCCGTCGAGAAGAAGCTATTCTTGTCAAGATGTTGGTTTCTCATCGGTGCTCCAAACATGGTATCAGTATCGCCAATCACCACTACGATGTGGTCAACGCGTTCGCTTCGCCGTCTCATGACATTATGGACAAAGCTACTCACTTTCTGATGCTGCCTCAACCCGACGATGACTTTCCCGAAGAAGAGGAGGCTACGCCAGTTCACGTCGCTGAACAGGACGAACGGCTACTACGACAGCATCACCGACATGCCACGTGTGTTCTACAGACATCGGATATTCCCGCAGAATTTTATCCTCGCAGCGGCACGTTCCAAGGCAACAGTGTCGCGACCAACGAGTTTCACGTACCGTACTGGCAAGCTGTTCACGCATGGGAGGAAAAAACGAAAGATCATCATCTACTGGCCGTATCTCCTCTCAATGCGGCCGTCATCGACATGTCCATCACCTCCTTCGTCGACGATCTATGTAAGCAGTACACGGTTACTACACCTACGAGCTTCTACGATACTCAAGCACGGCACGACACTGTCCTGAACACCATATTCGACGAGTACACGATCGCGCAGCACACGGGCAAGAGCGAGTCCACCGTACACTTCGTCGGCACGCTTGCGCATACATATCAACGACAAGTACATGCACAACAGTCACAATACAAAGTACTCAGCGCAGCACGATATCTCGGGCCATATCTACACTACCGCAATTGCTTCTATGTCGAGCGAAACTTAAGGATACAAGCTGCCAACAAAGCATGGTTTATATTCAAAAGGTTTTGGTTCACTCGCACTGATCTTCGCTTTCGCGTTCTCGTATTTCGATGCACAGTATGGTCAGCACTTGTCTCAGGGCTCACAGCTTTCGTCCTCGCCCAGCACGACTACAACATCTTCGACAAATATATACTGTACAAGGCACGTAAACTCATGAAAGGCAAGGCTACCCAAAAGACCCTTCTCGACGACGGCACGATTAAGTATCGACCCATTCCATCGATCGAAGTGTGGCGCAACATCGGCATGGCAGACACACTTACAGAGTTACGTATACAGAGATTGAAATGGTTTCAGAAGATATGCAGTCATCCTCTTCATCATCAATTGTACGTCACCGCTATGTTCGGTCGCTTTCCTCACGACCCCCCAGAAGATGCGATTTCTCACCCTTGGTTGCAGCAGCTGAATGAAGACTTGCAGGCATTATCGTTGCTGGAGTGTGCTTATTTTCTTGAAGATGCATCCCCGCGGCAGTTGCTAGACGCTGGCACATTGCAGGAAGACTTTCTCGAGATCGATATCTCAGCATTGCGTGCTAAGTTCCTCTCAGTCAACATACCTCCTCATCACCATGAGTATGACACGCTAAATCCTACTACATCATCATGTTCTTTACCTACAGGTGAATATTATTGTGGTCTCATGCGCACTGATGGTAACATATGCACACTTACGTTCCCCACCATGAAAGCACTCAGATTACACCGGGCACGCGAACAGTCCATGCACGGCATGATTACGTTAGACTCCATCGTGTTAGAGGCAGTATGTCCATGGTGTTCTACACACTTCTCTACTCGTAAAATTGCACAAGATCACGCAAGGCGTAGTTGGCATTATGGTAGATGTATTGTCGACCAGAGCTTTATCCCCTCGCCTCCTATTGTATCGGACACAACATATTCATGCGCTATATGCAAGCTCTACGGCAACAATTACGAGTGCGACGACATATACGTGTACAATCATCATATCCGTACCAAGCATCTCTCTGGTCCAAGAAGATTGGAGTTCTCAGCATCCGATACTCTCAGCATTCTTCATCCTACTGGTCCCTCAGAGAGTGCTGATGGATCTCGGCCTAGCAGCAGGCGGCGCCAGACCGCCACAGAAGGAGCGACGCAAAGGAGCCAATCAACACGACCTGCAGGCCCTCGTTCTTCTCATAGCAAAGTTGACCCTCAGTACTGCTATGTCGTCGAGGATTCTCAGGGCCATCGTATTGGAAAACTATCAGGTGAGCGAGAGCTCCGAGTATTTCGTCCAGGGGAAGAATTCTACCGAGAGCTATGCGGAGGCCGCGAAGCAGTACGGGAAGGACCAGAAGCAACAGAAGATCGCAGCCCTCGCTCATCCTCACGTACACGTCTGGAATGCATGGATCATCGTGGCGAAGACGTCTCTTGGAGTGAAAGACCTCGACCCGCCGAAGGCCACCAGTCTTCAGCAGTACATCGACAAGATGAAACAAGGCAGCCCCGAGACGTCCAAATACCTTCACAATCTCCTGAAAGAAGTTCAACATGCACGATGCTGCAAGACCTACGACAGCAAGACCAAGCGCCTGGAGGTCAACGTCAAGCCCAACAGCGACAGCGAGAAGGTATTGCAGCAAATCCTGGTTCCGTTGTGGCTACGCGACAAAGCAGTGAAGCTCGAAGGAGTGGCGCCACCAGGGGACCTCGAGCGCAGGATTCAGCAGGCGATCGACGAGTTCGAGGCCCAGTGATACCCCCAGAGGCAGCTCGTGCCGTGCCTGACCCAGGGCGGGGGGCGCGGTGCGAGTGGGGACTGCCCGGCGGTGCGCCGTTAGTGACCCTCGCACCGTTGCTCCCCGGCCCCGCGCACGGCGCTGAGAGTTCAACTCTGCCTCTGGCTGGATGGAACAAAAACGTGCCTGACCCAGGCGCTCGACGAGTACAGCAGGCAGATCATCCTGCTGCGGACGCTCGTGCTGTGCCTGTCGCATCAGCCGATCATCGAGTTCGGCACGCAGTGAGGCCCGCTGACGCTCGTGCTGTGCCTGATGTTCCAGGCCCCTGCCGCCAGCCGAGAGACAGATCCCCTCCTCGTCCCCCCCCTCCTCCTCCTCTTCCAGTTTTGAGTGTGTCCGACGGAGTTCGACTGTCGTCACGGTTTCAGGAGGCTCGTTTGAAACATGAGCGATCTAAATCGAGATCACAGGGATAAGACTTGTGGTGCACTTGTGCTACAGGTACGAGTGCACGGCGTTCGCGGCCCCTCACGCTTCGTGCTGATTCGGGGCTTGCGTGCACTGTCGTCGGTGGGCCTTGCTCGTGTCACCCCCTCTACAGTCGCGCGTCTCTGAGCGTATGAGCCCCTGTTTTAGTCCTTTCTGCCAGGCTGAATCGACAGGTCTTCGAACGATCGCTCTTGTGAGTTGTTATTATTATTATCCTCCTCCTTCTCCCCTTCCTCCTCCCCTTCCTCCTCCTACTCCTACTCCAACTCGAACTCCTACTCCTATCCTTATTCCTTAGTAGAATATACTCTGATTCCCCCCTGCGGCCGGCCGAGAAGGGTTCCATCCGGGCCCTCCCATCCCCCTCTGGCGCGCGCTGGGCCGAGGCAGGCACAGGGCGCGACCAGCCCGCGGGTGCGAGCATCGAGCAGCCCGACCTCGGGCCCAGGCCGGCGGGGGCTGCCGAGGAGGAGGAGGAGGAGGAGGAGGAGGAGGAGGAGGAGGAGGAGGAGGAGGAGGAGGAGGAGGAGGAGGAGGAGGAGAGGAGGAGAGGAGGAGGAGGAGGAGGAGGAGCAGGAGGAGCAGGAGGAGCAGGAGGAGCAGGAGGAGCAGGAGGAGGAGGAGGAGCAGGAGGAGGAGGATGAGGAGGAGGAGGAGGATGAGGAGGAGGAGCAGGAGGAGGAGGAGGAGGAGGAGGGAGGAGCATCTGGGAGAAGAGAAGAGGAACTCGACAAGGCAGAAGGGGAGAGGAGGAGGATGGGGAGGAGGAGAGGACCAGTGTAAACCCAAGGTCCGTCAACGATATTGGAATACGCCCTCCCTCCAAGCTCCCTCTTCATAGGCTCCTACAGGGGCTCATTTTCACTGAGGGAAGTGCCCCGTTGGGGGACAACCGTGTGGACATCCTGAAGCGTGCCAAAACACAATTCCCAGGACTTCAGCGCCACGAGTCAACCTGACTAGTATGTCTTGACGATCCTGAGTCGTGTCAGAAAACCATGCCTGGGACCTCAACACCGCGAATAAACGCGACTGTTGCTGCCTGACGGTCCTGAACCGTTCCAAAGCATCGTTTGTGGTACGTTAGCCATGAGAGTCAGTGAAACTCTTTGTGAACTGGTGAAATGAATGTGCGCGGCGCTACGGCGAGAGCTACATTTTGAAAAGGAACCGCCCTCAATCTGTGAAGCTCTTGCAGATTTTTAGAACAAATGTGCGCGGCGCTAAGGCGAGAGCCACATTTTGAAAACCACCCGCCCTCAGTCCGATACGCTTTTGCAGATTTTTAGAACGGATGCGCGCGGCGCTACGGCGATAGCCACATTTTGAAAACCAGCCGCCTTCAATCCGTGAAGCTCTTGCAATCTTTTCAGACGAGTGTGCGCGGCTCTAAGGCGAGAGCCAAATTTTGAAAACCACCCGCCTTTACTCCGTGAAGCTCTTGCAATCTTTTAAGACGAGTGTGCGCGGCTCTATGCCGAGAGCCACAAAACGACCGGCCATCAATCCGTGAAGCTCCTTGCATATTTTGAAGACGAGTGTGTGCGGCGCTAAGGCGAAAGCCACATTTTGAAAACCACCCCCTCAGTCCGATACGCTCTTGCAGATTTTTGAAATGGATGCGCGTGGCGCTACAGCGAGAGCCACATTTTGAAAGCCAGCCGCCTTCAATCCGTGAAGCTCTTGCAATCTTTTCAGACGAGGGTGCGCGGCTCTAAGGCGAGAGCCACATTTGAAAACCACCTGCCCTTAATCCGGGAAGCCCTTGCAATGTTTTAAAGACGAGTGTGCGCGGCTCTAAGGCGAGAGCCACATTTTGAAAACGGCCGGCCCTCAATGCGTGAAGCTACTTGCATTTTGTAAAGACGAGTTTGTGCGGCGCTGAGGCGGGAGCCACGTTTAGGAAGCGACCCGCCCTCCATGTGTGAAACTTTTGCCAGTTTTTACGCTTCATGATCATCAGTGGTAAGTCTTTTTTTGGCGAAACGCCCAGCCCGCCCGAAAAACTGGCCGCGGGGTGCGATAGGGAGGAGTTATTAACAAGGCAAAGGAATGGAGGATGAGGAGGAGGAGGAGGAGGGGGAGGAGGAGGAGGAGCACCAGTGTAAACCCAAGACTCATTAACGATGTTGAAGTACACCCTATTTGGGGTGCTCTTCGAGGCCTCTTGAGCCGTCGTTGAGGCCTCTTGGGCCGTCAGGGGGCCATCTTGGGCTTCATGGAGCGATCTTTCGGCGAATCGGAGCCCTCTTGGCGGGGTTTGGAGGTCGTTTTGGGCGGGCACAGCGTCCAGAGTACCGGCAGGAAATACCCCAGAACTCACGGGGGTAACGCCGGAAGAGATCGGGACAGCCCGGAACTCTGGAGCTCCAGGCCCCTGAGAAACCACAATCCCGGCTGCAGCATCAGCACGGCTGTGAGCCTTGGGGCCCTGCATTTCATGCCAGAGGCACGGCGGCGGATACTACAACCCTCCGCGAAACTTAATGCAACCCCCATGCCCTTCGCCCCCGTAGCCCCCAGAACCCTTCGCTCTTGTAGCCCCCCCAAACCCTTCGCTCCTGTAGCCCCGAACTCCCCCAAGCCCTTCGCCCCTGTAACCCCCCCAACCCTTCGCTCCTGTAGCCCCCAGAACCCTTCGCTGATGTGGCCCGAAAACCGGTTTACTGACACCCCTCGCCCCCAATTTCAAAGTTCAGTTGCGCGTGGAGCGCGGTGCGCGGACGCCGACGTAAAACTTGCAGTCGCGTGTTTCGGCAGCAGCGTTGAGATCCAGGGGTCTGGGGTCGCCGACGCGGCGCGGGAGAGCTTGCGCTCGGTTTCGCGGGGGGTGCATATCGTACTGTGCGACCAGGGACCACGACCAGAGGCCAAGAACCACGGCTTCTGGATCCGGCGCCCCACCCTTTGGCGTCGGAGTGTGTGTGTATATATATATATATTCATATTCAGGACCCTTCCTCACAAGCTGTTTACCCATCGGTTGTTGAAATTAGGTATTTTCGAATTCCCAGGTGCCAATCTACTTCAGGCGCCTTCCTCCTTCAATGATCGAGTGTCTTCGCCTTTTCCGTCCTCCCAAAGGGCAACGCCTTTCTGTTTCATGTTTCCATCTACTTCTTCCGACTGATGGGTAGGGATTTCTGTTGTGGTGTAGTTAGTGTGCAAGACGATGTCATGCAAAGCTGTGCTGTGCTGACACTGCTGCACTGTACTATGCCATATCACGACTCGGCCACGCGCAGATGGGGGTAGGAGGATGGGGGGAAGGTTTCTTGGAAGGAGGCTGCTCCTTCGAGGGCGCGGGCCTTATCTGCAGACGCAAGGCTGGCGCCCTCCAAGAAGCGGCTTGCTTCTACGAAGCCTTCCCCCCTCCCCCATACAGTCGGGGCGCTGAGGAAGGAACCCCTTTCGTTGGGGAGGGGCTCGGTGTTCCTCAGTTGTTTTGCAGTTCGCCTTTGGTTTTGCTTCGGGCTCCGATGGGAAACCGAAGTTTGACTCATGGGAAAAAGGGGCCCCGTTCCTTATTTAGGGCTCCTTAGGTCAACGCCCCGACGGTACCCCACCCCCTCCTGCGCGCCGCCAATCGAGAGCGCGGCCAGAAAGCCAGAGAGAGGCCGTGGGCCACGACCACAGAGAGAACGCACGCGAGGGGCCACGGCCGGAGACCACGGCCAGAGAGACGCAGGGGCCACTCGGCCAGAGGCTCCGCGAGGGGCCACGGCCAGAGGCCACGACTGGAGGCCACTTTGGGAGGCAGCGCGTTTGGTCAAGTGCAGGCAGATGTCCCTGCCAGCGAGAGCGTTACATTCTTCAGATATGCATGCGTGTATATATACATAGCAAGGAGAGGGAGAGACAGAAATGGAGAGAGAGAGAGAGAGAGCGAGAGAGAGAGAGAGAGAGAGAGAGATAGAGAGAGCATGCAATGCTTTAGCAACGCGCTGGCGAAAGGTTGGCATCAGGCGGCGAAAGGAAGCTTGCCAAACGCAGAATATCGCGCAAGCGGAAGGGCGGTGGAAGGCGGCGGAAGAGTGGCCCTTGATATAATTGGGCCCAGCGGGAGATGGAAAAATGTTGGCGGAAGGGTGCGGAAACGAAACAATCTATGGCCACGCATTTAGATTGAGTGTGATTTTGAATACATCACATATGTATAAAAGTACGTGCGTATGCGTACATCTCGGGGAGGAGGGATTCCGCTCACGCGGGCCCATTCCGAGTTGCACAGATGCTGATCGGTTCGTGTCGAGCACACGTCGCTGCGTTCTTATCATTTCAGGGTGTATTTTCGGCAGCAGATCATAGAAGCCTGGTGTACTCTCGTACTCCCGCCTCCAGCGTCCACTATATCAGCGTGTGGGAGCCGATGAGATAGCGCCGGCTTTGCGTCGGTTAGCGTCGGTTTGGCGTCGGTCGAGCGTCGATCGGCGTCGACCAGCGTCGAGCGGCGCCGATGTGCACGAGCCGACAATGATGGCGCGGGAGGCTCCCACGACTTGCCGCCGAGCGGTCCCCCAGGTGCCGCCCGCCGCCGCCGCCGCGATGGGACTCGGCAACCCCCACTGACCTTGCGGGCCACACGTGGCCGCCAGTGGCTGGCGCGTTCCTCCTCCTCCTCCTCCTCCTCCTCCTTACCTCCTCCCTCCTCCTCCTCCTCCTCCTCCTCCTCCTCCTCCTCCTTACCTCCTCCTCCTCCTTACCTCCGCCTCCTCCTCCGCCTCCTACTCTTCCTTACCTCCTCCTCCTCCTCCGCCTCCTACTCTTCCTTACCTCCTCCTTACCTCCTGCACCTCCGCCTCCTACTCATCCTTACCTCCTCCTCCTCCTCCTTACCTCCTCCTCCTCCTTACCTCCGCCTCCTCCTCCGCCTCCTACTCTTCCTTACCTCCTCCTCCTCCTCCGCCTCCTACTCTTCCTTACCTCCTCCTTACCTCCTGCACCTCCGCCTCCTACTCCTTACCTCCTCCTCCTCCTCAGCCTCCTACCTTCCTTACCTCTCCTCCTCCCTCCTCCTCCTTACCCTCCTACCTCCCTCCTCCTCCTCCTCCTCCTCCTCCTCCTCCTCCTCCTCCTTACCTCCTCCTCTTTCTCCTCGTCCTCACCTCCTCCTCCTCGCCCTCTTCTACGCCCTCCTCTCCTCCAGCGGGGTGGGCTGGGGCCTCTGGGGCCGGCGGGCCCGGCGGGGGCCCCGCGGCCCGCGGCGCCGGGGCCTCGGGGCCTCGGGGCTTCGGGGCCGTGGGGGGGGGGGACCCGCAGCCCCGCCGCGGTCGGGCGGGGGCGGGGGCGGGGCCAGTCGGGCGCGGTGGTAATGGTCGGCCAGTCGCAGAGGGGAAGGCTTCTCAGGAGCACCCTCGCTCCTCAGAAGGCGCGGGCCTCGTCTGCAGATGTGAGGCCGGCGCCTTCTCAAAAGGCAGCCTGCTTCTGAGAAGCCTTCCCCTCGCCCCT